CATGACCTGGGTTCAAGTCCCAGGTCTACATTATCCCAATATTATTTTTCATCAAATGTTCATATGCAGCTTCAAGGGTTAAGGCGCATCATACACGTCCCTGATCAACCATCCACGTGTGCGCTGAGATCCAGTCAATGGCCTAGATTGAAGGCACACCATGGACGTAGGTCAACATGGCTGTAGGCTGTTCAAAAAATCAAACGGATTCAAAGCTTATTGGGCCAGCATTCCAGGATTAAACCTCCAAATTGGGACCTCCACCCCCTTGGTTTGCAAATCTTCCTATTTTTTTTTTTTTCTATTTTATTTTGAACCATTATTTTATTCATTGTTTTAATTCAATTCATTTATTTTTACAATATAAAAAATACCCCAAAAAAAAATCAGAAAAAGATAAAAACATAATAAATTATTTTCATAAATAAATTAACATATAAATATTTAGTTTTAATTAGGATATAATTTCAATCTCTTTTAATAACAAAAATACAAAAAAATATGTAGAAATAGGTTTAATAACTTTTTATTCTTTTTCTTTAATCTTCCTTTTTTTTTCATAATAATAATATTACTTATTTTATTTTCATAATTAAATTGTACATAAATTAATTTAGGTTTAATTTAGGTCATATTTTAATATTTTCATAACAAACTTAAAAAACATTAGAATTAGGGTTAGTTAATTTCAATTAATTCCTTTTTCTTTTAAATCCTAAAAAACATAAAAATACTAAAATACCAAAAACATTTTCTTTTAAATTTTAATTTTTATTCTTCATTAACTTTAATTCTTTGCAAAAGGGTCCAACGCCCATATTTTTAATCGTTTAATTTCGCACATTTATTTTATGTCGCTTATTATAATTATGTATTTCTCCCAAAGCGTTGTAACTTAATTTTCGCACTTTTCAATTTCTTTATTTACTTGCTTTCTTTACTTTCCGTCAAATCGGGTCCGGTTTAATTTTGGCGATGTGGACCCGCGCCATTTGTAATAGTTTTAGATTTACTTTTCCTCGAAAATATTAACTATTAACAAAATGTATGAAAGAATGTATGGATCAAAATAAAATCAAGCGTAGATCACAATGAACATGACAAGATAAATGCAAATGAAAACGACACACGAATCGCACACACCACCCCTAGGGTACGCCTCACTGTTGCCTTGCCCTCGAAAGGTGATCGTCGAGTAGAGGATGTCTTAGTAAGTCCTCATGATCCGGGATCCTGGCATGAGGGTAGCTTCTAAGGTGTCTTCCCATTGCTCTGGTGATCACATGTCCCTAAACTCGAATTGACCCGAACACCTCCAACGGTGGTGCTACTTACCTCTCAATGGTGGGATGGCACTACTTTAAAGGACATCTACACAGACGAATTCCTTAGGGTAGGTAGGTTCTCAAGGATACTTGCTCTAATTTCAAAAAAACAAAACTCTTTTCACACCGACACATTTTCAAAAGCTTTCAAAGCAAACTTTTCAAACACTCTGACGTATGAGTCGATCTGAAATTTTTCAAAGAAACTTTTTAAACCCACATTGAAAAGCAAACCATTTTTTGAAAACACAAGTGAGCAAGTATCTAAGAGCCCATGGATAACCATGGATAGAAAGGGTGCTAACACCTTCCCTTTCTATAACCTACCTCCCGAACCGAGAGCAATCTCTATAAGGAATTTTTCTGTGCTTTTGTCCTTTCCAATTGGAGAAAATAAAAGACGGTGGCGACTCTTTCTTCCGCGACATTTCGCGAACCAGCGTTAAAACAGTCAGTTCCAGATCCACCGATCACACATTGTTACCACATTTCGAGAAGATTACCTTCGAGCACTTCCCGCGAGAAGAAAATCAGCTAGCAGATGCTCTAGCTACAATGTCATCCATGTTTAAACTTAATTGGGATAATGAGGCTCCACATATCACCATTGAACGGATGGACGAACCTGCACACTGTCACGAGATTAATACCGAAGAAGTAGTGGACCAGCCTTGGTTCCACGAAGTCAAAAGGTATCTCGAGGCTCAAGAATACCCTGAAGGAGCTTCAGTTAATGACAAAAAGTTCTTAAGGATATTCTCAGCTAAGTTCTTCCTAAGCAATGGCATCTTGTACAAGCGCAATCATGATTCTATTCTGCTCCGTTGTGTGGACAAAGTTGAAGCTGAAAGAATTATGGCTGAATTGCATGAAGGTACCTTCAGCACTCACTCTAGCGGGCATATGATGGCTAAGAAGATTATAAGGGCATGCTATTACTGGTCTACCATGGAAGCTGATTGCTATCAACACTCCCGCACTTGTCACAAATGTCAAATATATGCAGACAAGGTGCACGTGCCTCCTGTTCCTCTAAATGTCTTAACAACTCCTTGGCCCCTCGCTATGTGGGGAATTGACATGATTGGAGAGATCAATCCTACAGCCTTCAATGGACACCGCTTTATTCTAGTGGCCATTGATTATTTCACAAAGTGGGTCGAAGCAGCTTCCTTCGCATCCGTTAATAAGAATGTTGTTGCCCGCTTCATCAAACAAAATCTTATTTGCCGGTACGGTATCCCTGAAAGGATCATTACTGACAACGGTACAAACCTTAACAATATTATGATCACCGCCCTGTGCGAGCAGCTCAAGATTCAACATCACAATTCATCTCCCTATCGGCCAAAGATGAGTGATGTTGTCGAAGCTGCGAACAAAAACATCAAAAAGATCATACAGAAGATGACAGTCACCTACAAGGACTGGCATGAGATGCTACCGTTTGCTCTCCATGGATACCGTACCACGACTTGTACATCAACTGGGGAAACACCCTATTCTTTAGTTTATGGCATGGAAGCTGTTTTACCTATTGAGGTTCAGATCCCCTCTTTGAGAATCATGAAGGATGCCGGTTTGAGTGAAGACAATTGGATCCAAACCCGACTTGATCAGTTAAACTTAATTGACGAAAAGAGACTTACTGTTGTTTGCCATGGTCAGACGTATCAAAAACGGATGATCAAGGCTTTCAACAAGAAAGTCAGACGACAAGTGTATCAAGTTGGAGATCTTGTGATCAAGCGCATCATCTTGCTACAAAGTGATCCCAGGGGAAAATAGACTCCTACCTATGAAGGACCATTTGTAATCAAGAACATCTTTTCTGGTGGGGAAATGATCCTAACCACCATGGACGGCGACGACCTGCCGCACCCTGCGAACGCAGACATAGTCAAAAGATACTACGCATAAAGGACCCGCTAGGTTGACACACCTAGGAAAAACAAGGGCATCCCGGTGAATCGAAAACCCGAAAGGGCGATTCAGGCAAAAATTAGGGATAAATAAAAAAATCTGTACACCCGGCAAGTTGAAAACCCGAAAGGGAGACTTGGGCGAAAAAGGATTTCCCGGTGGATCGAAAACCCGAAAGGGAGGTCTAGGCAAAAGTTAGGGAATTAAAGCGTATGACTATGTCTCGTCGGATCACTTTAAAGACAATCTCTTCACTGACAAACCTGGAGCTTCTGATCAATCCAATCATCTTCGGACGAAGCAACGAATGGACAAGATATTCGGAGTTACGAAGGCTATAGCAGAATGGGAACCCCACAAGATTTTTTACACATAGCTATCTTTCTTTGTATAAATTTTTCTCATTTTTTATGACACTGTCCTCTTACTAGGATGTCTGTCTCCTTTGTACAAAAAACTTATTCAAAGTTAATACAAAGATATCTCTTTAAAGTGCAGAAAACTATTTGCCTTTTTCTTTTTTACACTTGTGTTTTATTTGCAAAAACGTCCAATGATTCATTAGTGAACATATGCATTTGAACATAATTACTGTTTACAAATAAACAAAGTGGAAAAGAACAATTACTGACAGGTTGAAAGGATAGGAAAATGTATTTTGGTTATTCCATGAGCAATCCCTACAGTACATCATCTAGGTCCTCAGCGGAACTAAATTTCAAACCCTTAATCCCCATCAGAGTTAAAACTTCAAACTCCCAATCCCCAGCGGAGCCAAAACATTGAACCACAAATCCCCAATGGAGCTGAAACCTTCATTCCCCAGCGGATTCGGATTTCCAACTACCAATCCCCAGCGGGAACCATTCAGTTTTCCCCAAATTCCCCAGCAGGTTGTCTTGAAGTCTGAGAATCAGCCAGATAATAGTTAACTTTTGTCTCTCCCCAACCTAGGATAATTCCCCAGTAGAGTGGCGTACAACCCTAACTCCCGAACCTACTCCCTAGTAGTAAACCTTCTTCCCCGCAGAGCTTTATTATTCCCCAGTGAGGTCACCAGAATGAAGATTCTCATTATTAATTCCCCACAGAAGTCATCAGAGTTTTTTCTATTCCCCAGGAGAGCAAGGTTTCCCATTGTGTAATCCCCAGTAGACGTCAACAAAGTTCTCTTGATTTCCCCAAGCAGATTATTCAAGCGGTTTGGCATTACTCTCACAACAGGATTTTTGTATGGTACTCCAACTTCAAGACATGAAGGATCTTTATATCCCCATAGAAGTTGTCAAGCATTTTAATCCCCAACAGTCGCCCATGATTTCTTTGTCCTCAGCAGTCAAGGATTTATTTTCCCCGGTAGCAGTCAAGGATTTTATTATCCCCAGCCGTTAAGGATTTATTTTCCTCAACAAAACAGCTAATCAACTTACATGCGCTTACATTACATTCATATATCATAAACATTGATAAAGCACATTTATTGAATCATGCATTTCATGCAACATAATTTTGTGTTTCAGCTAAAATTTTACCCTTTTCAGGATAAGATTAACAGCTATCATTAACAATGTTCAAAGGTTCCAGATACAGTACGGATACACTCCAGACACGGAAGTCATTTTGTCACACTTTCAGATCCTAATTCAGATACGGTGCGGATACGCTCCAAATACGGAAGCCATTCTGTCACTAATTAAAAATCCCAAGTTCATAATACAATCTAGATACACTCCAAACACGGAAGTCATTCCGATGCTTATTCAAATTTCAAGTCAAGATACGGTACAAATACACTCCAGACACGAAAGTCATTTTGTTACTCATTCAGAGTTCAACTGTCAAGATACAGTCTAGATACACTCCAGACACGGAAGTCATTCTGTCACTCATTCGGATTTTCAAGTTCAGATACGCTCCAGACATGGTTGCCATTCTGTCACTTATTCTAATTTCCCCAGCTTAGATACACTCCAGACGCGGATGCCATTCTATCGCTTATTCAGATTTCAGATTCAGATACAGTACGTATACACTCCAGATATGGAAGTCATTCTATTACCCATTCAGATTACTCATACAGACATAGCTTGGATACGCTCCAAGACACGGACGCCATTCTATTGCTCATACAGATTCGGTCTCCAGATATAGTTAAGATACGTTCCAGACGCGGATACCATTCTGATACTCATTCTTTTGACTTACAACCTACAGTTCAACAAACATTCTTGGATGGCATCTATAATCCCATCTCCAACAAGATTCTATCACCTCTCCAAATGGCATCTTTAAGCCCATTCCCTCAACTATAATTTGACGAGTGCAAGTTTACGGGCACTCTAGTGTCCAATCATCTTTTACCTTCGAGTCACGAACGGCAAAGCTCGCGAATCTAACTCTTCAGGTTCAAGAAGATTGAACAGGGGCAGCTGTTGTACCCCAAAACTTTCCCTCTCATTTATCAAGATTTCCCTCACAAGACTTCTTGGACTCCAGACAGGATTAGGGTTTGCTCAGCTCAAGACACCTCCTATTGCACTGATGACCTGAAATTAGGGTTTGAGTTTGCACAAAGATCTTTGGACCATCAATGCTTCATGTGACTTTCATGCACCATCTTGGACCCATAAGATTGCTCATGCCAAGTTTCAAGCCTTGAATCACATTTTTGCCTAGTCAATTGGACAGTTGACCTAAAAATCAGCTGTATTGGGAAAAAAGTCAATTGAGGCCAATTTACAGTCAAACATCATAATTTTTTATCCACATCAATATTATAGACTCATATGAACAATTTGATCAAGTTTGGACCACAACTCCTCAAGAAATTTGATCAGATCATCAAAAGGGCAAAATGGTCAAAATTAGGGTTTTGACTGAGGAAGGGCAATTTCTGATTTTTAACCTAGCCAATGGCCAATTGAGTTCAAGCATGATTTCAAGGACTCAATAGCATCATCTTGAACTAATCACATAGTTCAAAATATCTCAAATGCATAGGATTGACAAATGAATTTTGCAGTCAACTGATCAAAAGTCAACTGTACACTGAAAAGTCAAACTTTGACTTTTTGGTCAAAATCAAGTGCCAAGGGTCATAATTCATCAAGATATGTAAAAATATGAAACTTGTTGATTAAGAAAATCAATTTTGCAAATTAGGGTTTCAATTTGAAATTTTTTCATAACTTAGAAAATTTCTTATTTTTCCCCAACTTTCCCCAACTTTTTCACCATGATGCAATTGGATTCAAAGAAAACTTCCAACATGAAAGTTGTAGTCCTCCATGAAATATACATCTTTGATTCACAAACTTTTCCCAAAATATGATTGAATATCAAGTTATGATTTTGTGAATAGGGGTCCATAAACTTTTTAACTTAGTGAAATTTTCCCTAGTTTAGGCAGATTTTTGACCTAACTTCATGGCAACTTTTCACCTATTTCCAAGAGGTATCTCAAGTTGCATTTCAAAGATGGATTGTAGAGCATGTTCCAAGATTTCCAAAATGTCCAAGAACTCTCCAAGATCATTTATGGTTATGGAGAATCGAAGAAGAGAAAATGGTAATTTGTCACTTTTGTTCAAGCCATTTTCACAATGGTTCAAGTTGCAAATCAGATCCTAGCATGCTTGCACCTTGTATTACAGGTCCTAATACCTTTTACACTCCATAATTAAATTCAAACTCAATGGATAATGGATTTGTTTTGACTTTTGAAGCATTGCACAATGAATTAATCCATAAATGGCATAAAGTTCACAATACTACTTTGATAAAGCATGCTTTTTGCAACTTTGCAATTCTTGAGCCATGGACCTGATCTTTTGTTGAAAGCAAGATCCACAAACATCAGGAAAAGTATACCAACCCTCTGCAGTCCACAAGCTAGCCTGTACAGGCCTTTGGCATAAGTCATGTCAACTTTCTTTAAAAGCAAGCAAATTGGCAAAAGTCAAGATAACTTGTCCATCTGATAAAGAGAGTTTTTAACTTCCTTCTAAACCATCTTCACAAACTTGTCTCAAGCAGAAACACGAATTGATAGCATTTGAAACTCTCCCAAACACAAAAAACACAAGTTCCTGCTCAAACAGGGCATCTTCTGCAGAACCCTTGCCAAATCAATTGGCTCGTGAGTTTCTCACTTTAAGACTTCAAACACTTTACATACATCCTACCTAAACTATCCAAGCCATTGCACTGCAACTGTGTGCCCTGTTTCAGCCATCACCATTTTCATTTTTGAAGGTTGCAGGTTGACTTCTACAAGGAGTTTCAAGCAACCTCAAGGCAAGTTGATCATTGGAAAAGCTTGAGGGAACTTCAAGTAAGCTCACACGATCTTCAGACCTCACTCAAAGTTCCCACATTGCCATATCCAAACTCAGCTGAACAAGGTGTTTTTCAAAGTTCTATCTCTCTATTTAGGAATCCTTAAGCTTTGATTTGTGAAGCAAATATGTAGTCCTTAACTTGCTGAAGTTGTACATATGCATAGTTGTCATTTATATTAACTGAGTAGTGAGAATTTGAAACTTGAAGTTCATGAAAAAATTAGGTCAGGAATTAGGGCCACTGAAATTCTCCTTGGTCTTTTAGAGTTAGGTCATGAATTTTATATCATTGGAATCGTGAGATCATAAGCTACATTTTTTGTGTTATGAGTTTTTGATTTTATGCAAGCTAGAGCAAGTTACAGGTTGAGGATGAAACACGCGCGTTTGATGCTGGCTGGAGGTCAGGGACGAAGGCTGGCTTGGGCCTGGCGCCTTGGGCCTGTTGTTTTTCACACCCCCCATATTCCTATTTGCACCCCCTGACCTATTTTCTTATATTTTTGCATTTTTCTTGCATATTTTATATTTTTAACTTGCATTTATTTTTTCTGAACATTAAAAAATCACAAAAAATATTTTCTTTATTTTTTGCATTTTATTATATATATATATATATATATATATATATATATATATATATATATATATATATATATATATATATATATATATATATATATATATATATATATATATATATATATATATATATATATATATATATATATATATATATATATATATATATATATATATATATATATATATATATATATATATATATATATATATATATATATATATATATATATATATTTGCATTAATAAAGAGTTTGTTAGTATATTATACTTTATTTTTTTAAAATAAAACTTGTAAATAATTTAAAAAATACTATACATTTTGGTTTTATTATTTTTCACACATAAAATATTATTTTCATATATTTTAATATTTGTAAATAATTTTATTTATTTTTCTTGTACATATATAGATAAAATAAATAATAGAAAACATAATTTTATTTTAAACCAAAAAAATTAGGGTTTCCCCTTTCAAAAATAATATTATTATTTTTTCTTATTTTTAGGACTTAAATAATTTTATTTTTACATATATAAAATAAATACAAAAAACATTTTGCATCCATACATTTTATTGCATATTTAAATAATTGTTTATTTATTTATTGTGCAAGAATTCAATTGGGTTGTAATAATTTTTAGGGTTTTATTTTGAGCAATATCCCCCATCCAAAAAAAACTTGTATCCCCCCTTCCCTAATAATTGTTGTAATAGCCTAGATTTACTGTTACGTAATTTATCGCATTTATACTATGCTAGTAAATCAGGGTTTGAATGATAAGACAAAAAATCAAACAAATAGACATGACCTAATACAAGACAAACAAAATGCATGTAAAATGACAACACATTGCACACAAGCACTCCTCTAGGGTTTCACCCACTTTGTTGCCTTAAAAATGGCCATGGTATGCATGCTAGGTATCTTGGCAAAACAAAACAAAACAAAAGATCATAGTCCCTCGATGACGCTATCAAAAGTTGCTTAAAAACAAATGATCTTAGTCCCTCAAAACTTGCTAAGATGCTTGGCAATATTGCTATCATGGTCATACGATGACCCATGCCCGTCCCTCTTAACATCCAAAGATAGGGTTGTTTACCAAAGCAATGGTAAATCAACAATGTCAAAGGATTACAAATGTATAGGAAAGACTTTTGAGTAGGTAGATAGATTTTAGTTACTTGATCAATTTGAAAACAATCCTTGCTATTTTCAAACAAACACACACATTTTCAAAAAATTTCCAAACAATTTTCAAAACATTGAAACATTTTTTCAAAAGACAAACATCTTTGTATACATTCTTATGAACGAGAATTATTACAAATATTGCCTAAACGACGGCCTCTTTTCAAAATACTTTTAAAACCACACAAAGCACCATTTCAAACAATTGGAAAAGCAAAGCAAGTGATCTAAACAAGTAACTAAGAGCCCATGGAAAACCATGGATGAAAAGGGTGCTAACACCTTCCCTTTTCATAATCTACCCCCCAAACTCAAGAAAACATCTGAAAGGTCTTTCCTGTGCTTTTTTACCTTTCCTTTTGGATAAAATAAAAGTCGGTGGCGACTCTTTCTAAACTGAAACATTTGCGAACACAAATGCAAAACCTCAAGTCAGTTCTCCCACCATATCACATAAGGGAAATGCCATGTACTGCTTGAAAAATCTGTTTGGGTAATCTGGGGAATTGGATGATTTCTACCGGGGATTGATAATTGGAAGCTTTGTTCCGCTGGGGATCAAACTGTACACTGCAGGGGATTTTTAGAGAGATTTCTCTATCTCTTAAAGCCATCACTAATTGTTTGTTTTTTGTTTATTTGTAAACAACAATTATGTTCAAATGCATATGTTCAACAATGAATCATTGGACATTTTTGTAAATAAAACACAAGCGTAACGAAAAAGAGATAGTTTTTGCACTTTCAAGGAGATATCTTTGTATTGACTTTGAGTAAGTATTTATGTACAATGAGACAAAGAATCTAGTAAGAGAATGCCTTCGTAAAAAAATGAAAATTTTGATACAAAGAAAAGATAGCTATGTGTAATAATCTCATGGGGTTCCCATTCTGCTATAGCCTTCGTATCTCTGAGTATCTTGTCTATTTGTTGCCTTGTCTGAAGTTGATTGAATTAATCAGAACCGCTGAATTTGTCAGTTGAAGCCAAAAGTTATCCTCAAAGTGATCCAACAGGACATAGTAATACGCTTTAATTCCCTAACTTTTTCCTGGACTGCCCTTTCGGGTTTTTTGTTATCCCTAATTTTTGCCCAAACCTTTCGGTTCGCCGGGATGTCGTTGTTTTTCCTAGGTGTGTCAACCTAGCGGGTCTCTTATGCGTAGTATTTTTTGACTATGTCTGCATTCGCA